TTGTTGCCCTCCTGTAATTCTGTCCTGGCCATGAAGAATGCATGATTCACATTGGCAGGTTATGACCCTGTGACAGAAGGCACCAGCACATTGAGGTCTCTGATGGCAGAGACACCTATTTGCCCCTGCTTCAAAGTTGCCATCTAAATGCCATTAGACATTCCTATGCTTTTTCTTCTCATCTGTATCACACAACACAAGATTTGGATCTGAGCAGATGACCACTCTGCTGCTGTTGACAGCCATGCTAGTATCCATGATCAGACTTTTTGAAAACAAGCTAACTGTGAATTTGCACCATTGTACCAACCAGGCAGCTTTCCAAATCTTACACCTGGTGATTTCTTGTCCCTTTCACAAGATCCATCCTCATCTTTTGCAAACAAACAATGTTTCAGTGAGGTTTGTGTTACTGTTTAGGTGTTTGGATGTAACTGGGCAAATAAGGGATAAAAACCCAAGCTTGCAAATCTGGAAGGGCAGAGAAGGAAGTATTCAGAGAAGTTCACGTGACGCTGAGTTTGTATTCTTTTCAGTGCCAGGTTAAAACCTTTTTAACTGTTATTTTAAAAACTAATTTAAATTTTAATGTTTAACAGTCACTTTTATTTAACTTATTTAATTTGTATTTTTGGTTATTTATTAAGATTGCTGTTTTATTGTGGTTGTTTTAATGACTGTAAGCCATCCTGAGATGCCATGCATAAGGGATGGCATATAAAAGATTTAAATAAAATAAATATATAATGAGGATTAATGTATGATAGTAGTGGTAGTCTGAAAACACTTTTAGAACTTATTTGCATTGGTATTACTGTAGGAAACTTGCAAATGGTTTCACACATGGTAGAAATGTAATAATAATAATAATAATAATAATAATAATAAAACTGTCAGTTTGCAATGGATGCTTTTTAGTAGTTCAAAATCACGTGCCTCCTTAAATGATGGATTCTGACACCCCCCCCACACACACACACTTTCATCTCTTCCAAATTGCCCCCCTCATTATTGTTCAAAACTGGAATAGTCTTCATATGTGATTTTATTTTCCCTCCCCAATGAATCTTCATCATATGCAGGTGAGCAAGTGCAATTATGGAAATTCAGCATGTAATTATGCACATATTTGTGAAAAGGGGAAGGAGAGTTTATGCATGTCAAGAAGTGGGGAGGGGGGATTACAAGAGTGCAGGTGGGAACACGAACTGAAGAACCTGCTTCATTTACACCAACCAATCATGGGTTAATTCATCCACGGTTCGTCAGCCACACAAGAAGGCACATGCTGTCTCCCACCCACTTGCCTCTTCTGCTTTGCATTCATTTTGGAAAACAACCCAGGAATGCCCTTCTGGCATCATGTGCAACCTTAGAATTCTGGGTTGTTGAGTGGGAAACAACCTATAGATTTAACCCAACAAACAAGAGTTCTGGTTTCATGTCACACTGATTCTTCAAACTGATGCAAAGTGGAAGTGGTGAGCAGGTGCAAATCTGTGTGCTTGCTTACGTTTGCATGGCTTTAGCAACCTGTGGGTCATTGTTCTATGTGAAACTGGGTCACAATTGACTGGTGGCATCAGCTGTTCCCCAGGACGCATCTGTTCTAGGATTCTCTTGAATGAATAAAACAACCACACATAACCATGCAGTCTTATGACATTCACCTAGCAAGATGTCCCATTGTATTCAGCACAACTTATTTATGAATAAGCATACACGTTACATATTATTTTCCAGTTATGCATTTAACACTACTTTGAATCTGCCCGCTCTGTGACATCCTGTGCTGAAAGCAGATAAACTGCTCTATAGACTGTCCAGTCCCAGCTGCTCCTAAGATCATCCCCAAGAGCAATATGCATGGAAGAAAATAACAGAACTGATTTAAGGGAAAACCACCCTGCCTTTTTAGTCAGGTCCAAACACACCTATGCAAATACTCATGCAAAACACAATACATCCTTCATCTCTCTTCCTGGAACTCACAAAAGCCTTTAATATTTTGATCCAAAGAACCTTTCCCATAGGCTTTCTATTGCCTTGTAATAATAAACTCCTCAAGCAGAAATGTATAATTTGCACCAGTGAAGTTCTTAAACTCGATCAGTAGAAATTAAGGGTTTTTTGCAATAAAGTAGAATTTGATCAATATGTTTGAATATGTATGTTTTAACATTAATTCATTATTTTTGCATATGGACCTTTTAACATTTTGCTTTTGAAGTTTTTATTTTCTTTTGAGAAGTCCTTCTGAAGAATGTAAAACTCAACGTTGAATAATTTTCAGAGTGTAAATACAAGTACCAGCTTGCCAAATGGAACTTTTTAACACTTACTTTTCTTAACACTCCCACATTTCACAGAATATTGAAAAAATGCAAATAAAACTTGTGACATTTTTGGAAGCAAATTTGGTTTGGAAGACGTTGCTGGAAAATCCTGCCCTAAAACCTAGTAATTGCAGCCCCAGCGGAAACAAACTAGGCAGACTACAGTGGGCCATTATGTTAAATGAGAGGCCTGCCTATACCTTCCTCGCGGTGTTCTAGCAGGCCTCCCTGGAGACTTGCTTCTGCTGCAGGGTCAGCAAGTAGGGCAGGCATGGTTGAGCTGCACCCCAGCAAAGACCCAGGGACAAGAACCTTTGTGAGTTGTTCCTGCAGGTTACTGCTGCAACCTGCTTGCTTACCTGCCTCTCATCCTGGCCTGAATAACGATGCAGCAGCAGGAGATGCGTTGGCTTCCTTGCCCACAGACTCTCCGCCTGCCGCACAAGCAAGCGGTGGCAGTGAGGAGAGGACACGCTGCATTAGCAGCTGGTGACTCACGGAAAGATGGGCCCGATGAGGATGTCTTGGCCAGCCTGGCACCCACATGTTCTATACTATTTGGGTATCCCTTGTGGGAAACATAGGAAAGGAAACACTGGACCCTATCTTTTTAAAAATTAAATTTATATGGAAGGGGTGCCATTCAAATAATAACAATGAATGGTATGAATTAACTGATTAGACAGTTACATTTGCATATGAATATAACAGTGCTTATGTAGAAAAGGCATAATTTGTTTTTAGATTATGCAGATGCCTTAGCAAGAGGAATTAGGAATTTTTTATTTGAACCGGATTCAAAGAAGGATCTTTCTAGTTAAGATGTTTTTGACTAGTCTGATCACTTGATCAATGAAGGATTGCAGTCTCTCCATTGTTGTCTGTGCACATCTGCATGAGAGCACACAGATACACGCACTGCATTACACGCACCGGTTCAGTGCCAGGAGACATAAATGAAGTACTTTGGTTCCATTTCACCTGGGACAAAGGAAGAATGAGACATGCTTGACAAGAAATTCTCTACCCCTTTATGCATCGCAGGAGTTGATTCACATGAGCACTGGATCTAGAGTAGACATTTTTCATGGATAAACTTCCTGCCAACCATGTGCACCCGCCATATGCAGATTAAGCACTGTGCATGTGTTGGAAGATGGTTTTATGTTGGAAGCACCAGGTTAACCACACACACAGCTGTGATGCACACCACTGGCTGGCCACGGGCAGCGATTCATCTTAGGACTGATCCTCTTTGGTGCTGCTGGATCTCTGAGAGAGAGAGAGAGCTTATAATTGCACTAAAACTGCAGTGGAACCCATTAAGGTTTGAGCAGCAGACGATGAACAGAGGTAGGTTGCTTTGAAAGACTTTGGCTAACAGGAGGTGGGAACCAGAAATAAGGTGAGAGACTAACTCAGTATGAGAAAAAAATGAAAAGACTGGACTTCAATAGAAACTCTGCTGGGCTTCTTGACCTGCCTGAAGGCAACGGCAGTGATTCACCAGGAGGGTCCAGTACGTCCAAGCCACAGAGAATGAGATAGGAATGGTGTGGGGGAGAGATTCTCTTGGAGAGAATTTTCAAGTAGCCAGGCAGGCATTATTTCTTAGAAGACTGCTAGAAATAGCAGGGCTAAGACTGCAATCCAAAGCGTGTTTACGCAAAAGGAAGTCCCACAACTTGTAGAATTCCCCAGCCAGCCATTCTATATGTTGTACGACTTTTTTGTCTTAACATGCCTTGGACTGCACCCTAAGAAATATATTGAGTAGTGCAACAAAAACTTCTACAATGAGCTAGCTCTCCCTAGTCCAGAGTCAAAGCTGCTTAGGCCAAGGTGAAGGAGATGGATCTTTTAAGGAATGCAGAAACGTTAATTTATGCTCTGAAAGGTATAATCAACGGGAGAGTTGATCACATTTAGGTTCTAAATTTGATTTTTTTTTCAGAGCCCAATTCTCCAAATGCCTTTAACCATTAGCACTTTTGCAAGGAAGATGGCACTCACCACCGTAACTTTCAGTGCACCCTCTGCATCAAGCAAGCGTCTATACTCACCCCTGGCTGTTTACACCACACTGTTTCTGTTGCTGAATGAAGACAAGGCACTTGCAACAGCCCGCTTCAGCACCGATTCCTCCAGTGAAGATATCAGACCAATGTCCTGGACATTGAGTGCCTGATCCCGCCTAGTCTTGGAAGCTAGTCTTGGTGGAAATCTGGATGGGTCACTTAAATGTTGTGAACGCCTGGAGAGCTTTGACTATGGGTGGTATGGAAATGCAACATCATCACCACCATCACCATCACGGTAATAATTTAGCTGCCCTAGAAGGGCTCCAATTTGGGAAAACCCTGGACTGCTAGGTCTGTCTCTGCTTGCCATTTGGCTTGATTCTCCTTGCGGTCTGACAGGCTTGTATACAGGGAGCTGGCTCAGTATTTCTACCACTACCATGCAAAAAGGCAGTTCCCAAGAAAGAAAAGATCAAAGGAAGTGTTCCTGCCTCCTTCACTGCTCTCTCTTTCCAGGCATAGATGAAGGGGAGATGTTAAAATTGTGCAGCACATCATAGTCTTTAAACATCAAACGGACACATTCAAAATAACTAGGGACTGCAGTTAACACAACAGTCCTAGCAAATAAAAAAACAGTAAGTTTTTTCAGTGAATAAAAAGTCTTTTAGTTTAATAGTGCTCTGTATAATAATAATAATCGTATTCACAAGAAAAAGGAGATATAAATTATGCCACTACTCTGCTTAGATATTGTTAACTGGGTCTGCTACCAGGTATGAAGAGGTAAAACTGTCTATGAAAAAAGGTTAAAATGAAGTAAAGTTTCACAAATTTCTTGTTGAAATGAAACAGGATTTTGTGGTAGATGCTTTTCTGGTGGCGGTCCTAATGCTACTGTTTAAAAAAACCCAACAGCACAGGAAATCCATTAAAAAAAACCAGACAATGCTTTGTCTGCCACAGAAAGAAGCTATATGCATATGTATTCCTAAACCCTTCACAGCTCCAGAACAACACTCGGGGAGGAAGGACACAGCCGACACATACACGATCAGGTCATGTGAGGAAAAAAGGCTGGGACACATCAAAACAAGAGGAAATCCTATCTCACTCCTTCCACACCAGTCATCACTGTAAAAGGGTTGACAGGTGCAGGGGAAAATTAGCCACAAAGTGCTCACAGCAGCAATGCAGGGGACGCAAGGCTCTTGAGACTTGCCCTGGCCTTCAAGGGATCTGAAAAACATTGAGTTTGCTGGTGTTTTTGAGTGTCTGTCGCCGGTTGCAGAACCAGACCCGGACTACCTCACGGTCATAATTGAGCTCCTTGGCAATCTCTGTGATCTCCTGGCCCGTGGGCAGGGCATTCTTCTCAAAGTAGGCATTCAGGGCCTCGATGGCCTGCGGCGTGAAAGACGTGCGGCGTTTCCGCTTCTTGGAGGGCTCGCCACCCACAAACTCCATCAGGTTCTGCTGGCCTTCCTGGTTCCGCAGCTCAGCCTCACTCAGCCACTTCTCCAGCACGGGCTTCAGCTTCTGTGCACTCTTGGGAGTGATGTCCAGTTTTTCGAACCTGGAAAGTTATCAGGGAGCACTGAGGAGCATTGGGGGTAGGGGGTACTGCCCAGCAGAGGTCCAGGACCCACAGCTAAGGGTGGCCCAAATTCCCACCTGCAGAGCAGCAGGTGATGGGCCAGTGTCAGGCAGGCCTGGTCTCAGCACTAGGGCTGATACGGGTATGCCAGCTCCTACTGGGGCTGAGGCTGGTTGCCCTGTCAGCACTTCTCTTTTATTTTTAAGCATGGGGACAGCTGGCTGGGCACATATATTAGGGCCCCCATTAGAAAGTTAACTCCAGGGGCTACCCTTCCCCAGGTGAACCACTGCCATATACCTCCCCACCCCCAGCTTGATGTTACCAATCCTTTAGGTAGCAGCACAGGTCAAAAGGAGTGTGTTTGCTACTGTTCTGTAAAAATGGTAAGGCCTCCTGGCAATAAGCTGAATTTTACCGTCCTGCTTTTGATGGGCTCTTTAAAAGAACCAGCACAGTGTTCATTTGAAATAGATAATACTAGATTCTGTGCAGCAACTGCAGAGACTCAGTACGCGGGTCTAGAAAGTAAATTGTCAATGGGGCCCCTAGGAGGACCACAGCATCTTCTGGCTCACCTGCATATAGCAGACTGGCTGTATGCAGGCCCTTCTGTTGCAGTCAGCGCCTGCCCCACCTGTGTCTGTGTCAGACCCAGAGACAGGCGTCGGATCTTGAAGTTCTTGGCAAACTCTCTAATCTCCTCCAGATTTATTCCATCTTCATCATTTCCACTGTTTGGAGGCTGAGGCTCTAATGCGGGAGAGGAAGGAAATGGCAAGCCGCTAGACAATGCAAACTTTTCCCTATTATAGCAAAACCCTGTCTCTTGTGCAATTATGGCTCCTCCAGCCGCACACGTGACAAATTCTAGCTACAACCATTGGGGAGAAGCAGGGTTTGCACTTAAACATTTGGCAAAGTGGTGCACAGTCTTTTTGAACCTTTGGCTCAGGTTTGGTTGGGGTCTGTAAATGTACGCATGCACATGTATACACATCCACGCTCACGCTCTGTTCTCTCACCACATACACAGAATCTCTCAGTGCATAGTGACATGGAAGTTAAACTTTCAGGGGGTCATTTCCCTTCCACGAATAGCAGCACAAAGTTCTCCCCTGCACTCCAGCTGACTAGCATGTGGCCTGCAGACTGTGTATGCCAATTGGCACCACTGAACAAGAACGGTGAAGAAGAGCCCATTGGGTGTGGTATCGATGCTGTGGTGCTGCACCTATCCTAATGCTCCTGCCCGGTCTGTGCTAGCATCTGTGAATGACAGCATCAGCTCAAGCAAGGCCAATGCAAGCTTCTGTGCAGGTGTGGAATAAAAAGCTTTCCCACCACACAAAGCAGGGACTTTCCTTCACTGGTTTCTACTGGAACTGCAGTCTGCCCTCCCCCACTACTACTAGCTATTAGAGAAGGTCATGAACCACTAGTCGTTACCAGAGAGATGACATCCACCCACTGCTTGGCAGAAACAGAAGGTACTTACTGGAAACCAGCTGGCTGATGGTTGGGGTCTCCGAGCAGGTGATGGGGACTGGAGCAGAAGCTAGTTTGGCTGCAGGGGGAGGGCTTGCAATCACTACAGTTGGCTGCGATAAAGTTGGAGCCGGCTGAATCGGCTGGACCTGCCAATGTAGCAAAAGAGAGTGACAACTGGATGGAAATTGTGTGGCATGAGGCATGAAGAATGACGCAGCAAGGCTTTGTGCAGCCACATCCAAAGAAGGATGAATCACAGTCAGAACCATGGCAAATTAACCCGATTAACCTACATTTGTTTGTGCTGTTTGATTTATACTGCATGAATAAAGCTAACCAGGAAGCCCTGTGACCTAACACAAATGCAGATGAAGATGTAATATAAAGCTATGCTAGTATTGCAGGCCACTGGGCTGTGGGGTGCATCCCACATGCTCCTGTTTCCTATCTGGCAGGCATGAATGACCTCAGCTGTCAGCCTTGCGCTGTACTCTGATTCGAAAAGGCTGCTCATCTTTCCTTTTTAAAAAAATTCATTGAAAAAGGTAACATTAAAAAAAGTTCTTTTAAAAATGAAAATCTCTTCCAGGGGATGGGTGGGGGGGGGCGGTGTGCATGCATGTAGACTTCCTGGAAATCTTACTGGCACCAGCCATGCATTGCTGGCTTCAGTTGCAAAGCTAGCAGGGGCACCTTTTACCATACTGACCCTTGTCTGTGTTCATCAGGTGATAACTGCAGCACCCAGAGATGACTGCTGCGGGGATCTGTGTCACCAGCAATGAACTGATCCAGACAGGACATTGGTGTTGCATCAGGCAACGCGTTACAGTGGAGTCGGTTCATCTGGAGGATCAAGGGTGCTGGATATTTTGCTACCTGCAATGGAGCTGCAAGTGGCACCATTCACTCTATACGTGATTCTCTGCATATGCCTCCCTGCACATATGCATACTGTCCATTCTGCCTCAGTATCCTCTACTGGTGCCCTCCCCGCCAACGATGCTGCGCCCCTTGGCTCCTGGAGCTCACCTCACTCTTTGCTGGGGATTCTGGAGTGCTGGGTTTCCGGACAGCCGCTGCTGTCTGGATGGTGCTGCTGGCCAAGGTGGCAATGACCTGGCCTTGGGCGTTCAAAAGCAGCTGCGGGGTCACCGCCTGCACCTGTAGATTCTGTGTCGGCAGTGTGGCAGGGGTGGCACTGGCCGTGGCAATTCCGGTTGGGTTTACCACCCAGGGGAGAGTCCCGATAACCTAGAAGAGAGAGGTTAAGAAGTCTTCTTAGAACTCCCCCTTGTCCACTTTTGGCCTCAGCAGGGAGCAGGGCTGGGTTGGGGAAGACTAAAGGCAGAGTTCTCACAAGAAAAGCAGGAAAAGGCTGCAGAACTTGAGAAACTTCCCACCTCCTCCCCACAGATCTGGAAGGCAGATTAACATGACCTAGTGGGGTGGGGTTCTCAGTGGCTCTGACCCTGCAAATACTTCTACCCCGGCACTCATGGGGGTGGGCAGGGCAAAGGGCAGCTATTCCTCAGTGTTTTTCTGCCCTGTTATTGCATCCTCCACAATTCAGCTGAAGTTGAAGTGATAGGCACTGGCACAAAATACCTCTGATTAACCCCCAGAGACTGCAAACTTGGTGGTCTACAGCCCAGCGCCTGCAAAAACCTCCTAACACCATACCAAGAGGAAACTGTCATTAAGAATTTTTATTGAGAGAGAGAGAGAGAAGGGCAAAAAAACCAAAAACATGCCGTTGTGGTATATTCACTATTTCTTTTTCCTGGGCAGTCTATTGTAAGGTTACCCAGTGGATTTTATGCTATATGCTCCTGCTGTGCTCAGCTGACAATTTGGTAAACAGGGGTCCAATTCTGCCAGTAGAGAAAAGGTCCACATGACCCTTGCCAAGTACAGCCTTTTTATTTAATTCCTTCAGTTAACTCCAGAATGCCCTTGTAAAACTTGCCCCTAATTGCAGGGAAAGGGTCAATGATCTTGGTACGTGCCAGTTACTACTGGCTAGTCTCACTCTATTTCTAAGCTGAGTCAGATTTGAATAGATTCACACAATTGTGTTTTCTGATTGTCAAAAGAGGCCTGATATCTGGTTTCTACAAAGTAAAGGTCACATGAAGGTAAATAGAATAAGAGAACTGCTTGTGTTCTGCAAATCCCAACCTGCACTATAGAAACCTAAAAACAGTGCTGTGCCTGAAAATTGCCCTACTGATCATCTAAATTTCCTTTTCTCCCCCTTTTTCTAAAGTAGATTTCTAGTCTTTATGGATACCAACGATTTTCTTGAAAGAGGCAGTTGGCCAGCAGAAGCAGGTTTATGAAAGATAACTAAATGCGAATGAATTTATTCCATTTGTACATTTTATACAGGTCAGCTCTTTTTTGCTGAATTTGGATGAACTGGATGCAAACATTTGCTTCTTTAAAAATTCAGACTATTTATAGCCCCCCCCCCAAATATTTTAGTGTAATAAATTCTGACAACCTGTCAAAGAGAAAAAGTAATTGTAAAAGAGGTTTTTCATTAAGATTTATGTACCAAACAGAAATTGTTTCTTGGAACAATACTAAGTTAAAAGGAAACTACAAGCAGTACCTACAACTTTTCCCACATTAGCAGGGCCTGCTACTAGCAGAATGGGAACCTGGTGGTTCCCAAATCAATCAGAAACTTGCAGAAATGCCAATCTCTGGAATGGTGCAGGTTGTTGGAAATGAAAAGGATAGTTATTCTTGGCGTGCATTCCTAGGTCAAGCAGATTTGGATTTGTCAGATGAAGAGGGGGCATGGGATCTAGAATTCTCAGATGCTGAAATGAAAAAAGTAGAGGGGTTTACTCAAGGGCACCTTCCCCAGGTGCTCAGGTGAACACTGAACAGCTACGATTTAAAGCTGCAAGGAGAGGGTGTGGGAGAAGAACTCCTGCACCCAGCCAAGCCTGGCATGACTCTTGATCCCATGAGGTGACATTGAGAGTCAGGCCAACCTACTAGAATGGCAATGGACAGAGAAGAGGCTTGCCCATCTCCAAAAAGGGCATCCAAGAGGGAGGGACCTGATGAGTTCTCATTCAAAAGTAACTCCTCAAAAGTAATTGCTAGATTGGGTTCAACGAATTGCTCTGTGCATGCTGAGAGACTAATTCTTTGCTGGTTGTGCTTCCTGGAAGTGCATTGAAGAATAAAGAGTTTTTGCCAAAGAATGGACTATTGTTTCGGAAGTGGAAAGAGGGAATAACCTAGCTCACAACACAGGTCAGCAGGACTCGCAAGAATAATCTCTGCAGATTTGTCTCATTCCAGAAGCAAGAGTTTCTGCTCATTACCACAGTACCTTTCAGTAGAAGTAGTTCCTATTCTGCTTCTTGTGGGTCTTGCAAATACAAGGGAAGAAGCAGAGGCACAACAGCAGTACTGAATGCTCTCTGATGCCTCCGGAGTTGGTTCAGACAGCTACACGTGTTTAGAGAGATAACTATTGGGTTTGTATGACATAATTCATCATGGGTGACAAGCCATGGTGAATTGTCAGGTCATATGAACACAGACCAATCCCTGCAGGGTGGCTTGTTTGAGGGTAACAACCCCCCCCCCGAGAATCCATGGGTTGCTATAGGGGTTTGCAGTACTCACAAGGGGTTGTTTGTGTCATCCAAACCTAGGCAACTAACCCTATCATGGGTACAGGGAAATGGCTAATGATTGCTTTTGCGAGGGTGGCAAAACCCCCAATGCTTTTGCCAGGCATGCCCTGGTACCCGGCACAGCCAACCACCCTAGAAGTGCCCAGGCAACGCTAGATCCCCCTCCCCACTGCAATCACAAGCTGTTTTCAGCTCATCGTGGCTTTTCAACACCTTCCCCTCCTCCCAAAAGAGTTGAATTTTTATTATTGAAATGTGCCAAAATATTTGTAGACACTGGGGTGTCCAAAATAGTTTAAAAAATTGATCTGTGACCATGAACACTAGCTGATGCTTAAGAATTCCAAATTCCAGGCTGTCAGGGGCTGTCAAAATGGGGATCACAAAGGTGATCAAACTGAGGGAGCAAACAGCTCATGGTGAGCTTGGCAGTTTGCACTAAGCAACAGTCAGCCCACGGTGACTTATTGCCAGGTTTGTTGCTGTGCAAGTCAGGTTTACCCATTGATTCCTGTGCCTTTGCTATAGAATTGTTCTGCTAATTGTGCTGTGATATTTGATTAATAATCTAGCTTTGCCTTCTGAGTTCTGTCACTTTTATTACCTAAAGTACCTCCATTTGTGGGACTGATAGTTTAAGTTCTCCCTAAAGACTGCTAGTACTGTGGCTAGTGGTTAATAATGAGCATGATACAACCAATGGGGGATGGGAGAATTAAACCTTGATTTCCAGTATTCTTAACAGGATTCATGGTACTTCATCCTTTCAAGTTACACATATATTTGTTCATAAGTGGTCTTGTTTATAGGTCAGAGAAAGGCAGAACTAAAATGACTTAAATATTGTGCATTTTGTTCTTCTTAGCTATCTTTAAAAAAAGAAAAGAAAAGCAGGCTAATACCTATTCAAGTATCCTTTATTAGCAGAAGAGCCCTGGCTCTGTTGTGAGCTGAATTGTGTGTCTGCAGTTGTGTGGCACTTACTTGTCCCTGAGCATTGGTCAGGATTTGTCCAGTAATCCCTTGCACACTGGGAATGGTATTTGCAATCACTGGTGTGGCCGCCAGAGAGCTGAGCAGCTGGGTTTGTGCTCCAAGGGAAGCCGCACTGATCTGCAGGAGAAAACACAGCCAAGAATCTACCGTTAGGTGACTCTGCATTCTCTTTCATGGTGGGGTTTATTCTTCTGCCTCAGCTGCATCCCCTTTCTTCAATATGGGGAATAATTATACGGCTCTACCTTACAGGACTGTTGGAAGGCCACTGTAGGAAGAACTAAGATATGCATGCCAAGCATTTTGCACACTTTAAAGCAAGGCCAGCTGACTGATGGCCCACCAGCCAAACACTGAAGAAATTGCATCTGGTACTGGGGCGGGGTGTTCTACTCAAGCATCATCAAGCTTTGGTAAAAAAACACCTGTGCACACATTGTTCATTCATAAGAATGTTTGAAGTATTTGAACAAAATATTTCTTGTAATTTTACTGCCCTCTCTCTTCCTTTTCAATCATGTATTGAATGCCTCAGTTAGGTGCTTCATCAACATGATGCCATTATGGAGGAGACTGACTCTCAGGAGGAGGTCAGTGTACGCTACAGCGATCCCAGGACTACTGTCCGAAGCAGCTTTCCCCAGCCAGGTACCCTCCAGATATTAGAACTACAACTCCCAACATCCCTGATGATTAGCCATCCTGGCAGCATCTGCTAGGAGTTGTTCAAACATCTGGAGGGTACCAGGATGGGGAAGCCTGATCTTGAATAGTCCTGGAGAACATAGAAGTAGGCTGTCTTTGCTCTAAAGCACCATATAAACTACAACGATGACAAATGGTCCAGTCTGCATGATCATCATGGGCAAAAAAAGCCATGAAGGCTGGTTTAAACCACAGCACATGCCTGGCGCCGCTTGCCTAATCACCCATCCAAGCATAGCTTGCTATGTCATCTCAATCTGGCTGGCATGGCTTGTTTGGAGGGGGAAATGAACCCCATGGGCCTAACAAGGCATGCCACCTGGGTTCAGACCACACAATCACCTGTGCCCAGGTAGATAATCAGGTAGGTGGCACTTGGCATGTGCCATGGCTTAATCAGGCCACCATGGCACCAAGTGACCTTAAAAAGGTGGCTGTCTGTAATTGTCCCTACAAATTTCCAACATGCTTTGATCAACAGAAAAGCAGCTTTCTGGGAACTCAAGGAGTCAGTCATGTATTATTTACATCACCTGTCTCCAATGCAGGTTGTGATCAGAGGTGCTTCAACCAGTGTAAACATATTGGAAAAATGAATATTCTTCTCTGTTGGCGAACATCCCCTGCTATTTCTTCAATATGTAGCTAAATATGCCCAATGTTGCTGCTCACTTTTATAATGGAAACCTATTGAAGCACTTTGTGCTCCTGAAAACAAACAGCCCTCTGCTTGATACAGAAGACCAGATCAGGAAAACATCCACTGAAAGCTCGCCCATCCTCACCACCCTCAATCCCCACATGTCTGAACTCGCTGTTCATTTCTCTGCCACGGTGTTCTTAGTGCCTTACTATTCCAGGGTTAAAGGCAAACCCTGCTGGTTGGACCGTAATCTGTGTTTGAGTTTCCAACGGCTTGGCAACAGGTGGTGTGGATGCTGCGGCAGGCTGCGGCAAAATGGCTGGCTGTGGCTGCGGCTGCGGCTGGAATACTGTCTGTGTTTGGACCGGTGGCCGCGGCTGGACGGTTTGCTGTGCCTGGATAGGCTGGGCTGGCTGCAGAGGGGCTTGTATTGCTGTGTTCAGCACTGCAGCAGCTGTGGGAGCAAGGCAAAACAGAGAGACTGAATGCTGCAAGGAAGACATTAAGCCTTCTTTTCTCCTGCCCTGGAAATTGAAATGGTCATATTATATGACTCATATAGCTCCCTGCCCCATCCATGTCCAAACAGTGAGGAAAGTTGCACCTGTACATCTCAGCCAATAGCTATTTTATTCACTTATTCAATTTATATTCTGCTTTTCTTCCTTTCAATGAGCTCAAGGCAGCTTACATCATTCTCCTCCTCTTGTTCTCAGTCTTATCCTCACAAGAACTGGGCTGAGTCTCTGTGACTGGTCCAAAGTCACCCAGTAGATCCATGGCTGAGTGGAGACTAGAACCCAGATGTCTCAAGTCCTGGTCCCACACTCTTAACCACTACACCACACTGGCTCTCAACATATGACAACTCCCACCATCCCTCACCTTGGATATGCTGGCTAGGGCTGATGGGAACTGCAGTCCAGTAACATCTGACATCCCACACATGTTACCATGATCAAGGGCATCTAACAGGTATGGAAGCATGCCTTAAGACTAAAGTACAGAAACAGATACTTCTTCTAAACCTAGTTGCTGCTGCACAGGATTGAGATTTAAGATATACAGTAAACAAAGTGACAACAGGTCTTATACCGATTATGTTGGTGCAAGCACATGAACACGTTTGAGTTACACAGAAAACTGTTCTCTTTCTCGATCCCCCCAGTGCTCCTCATTGCTCCAGGCGCTGATGAAAGCCAGCAGGCAGCTTTGAAAATGGACTGTCCACGTAGCCTCAGTTGCTCCTGTGGCAGCCATCTCAGCTGAGGGCAGCTCAATCACCAGGACGCTTCATTTCACAGGCTCCTGTGTAAATTGGCCCCTAATGACAAGTTTGGCCTATAGAAATCATCCTGTCTTGCTCTAGACTCTATTTTCTTGACATAAGCTTTATTCAGGTGATCTAAATAGGGATAAGGTGAATCATCAGGCAGGGGAGCAGGAAGGAAGTGCTGATACCATTCACCCGGAGTCCAAATCACTGGGAAAACTCTCTTGGATAAAAAAAGGCTCTCTCCTGGAGAAACTCACCTTCCATGGACAGAGTGGGATGAAAATGCATGACTCTCAGCCCAGCTTCCCCACCTCACACATTTAAGCTACTGATATTTAAACTGACTAAGGCTTTAATATCTCAGGCTTAAAAGCACCTTCTAAATGGAGGTTATCTGCAGATATTATTTACTGGAAATTCTGAATACTGAAGAGAACTATGGGATCTCTTTAAAAAACCCCGGTGAAATGAACAAGCACAGAATCTTCTGCTGTAAAACTGATCAGAGACAATGCAATGCAATCTACTAGACATGCTAATAAGCTACCACTGAATTTGCTATGGATATAGAGGCTCTGGTGCATGCACTGGGTTCCCCTGCTCACTGGCACTGCTTTCATTTCAGTTCAGTGGAGGTAACAGATATGCGAGTGCATCCTTTTGTGTCAGCGGATAAAGTTAATGGGGGAAACCCATTCATGGTATGTGTATGGCTGGGGAGAATAGCTTTGGTCACTAATATTATTGATTGCTCAGTTCCATTTCTGTACCATTCTGCTGGAAGCAAACAAAGCAGTTTGCAAAACTTCAACCCATAAGCAAACAAATACACAATAAAACATTAAAAACGACATTTAAATAATAACAATTTTAAAAGCCATTTTGAAAAGATGTGCCAACCCCCTTCCTGAATCTAGACAGAGTACAGACTAGCAAACTTACTGCACTCTCTCCCTCATCAACTAAGGAAACTAAAAACATTGCCAGAAACTTCTTAAAGTTTGCACTCCCTTCCAACATGTGTGCTCTTAAGCTGATCCCGCATTTCCCAGAGAACACAGAACATTTCAGGGCCCTCCCCAAACAGTTCTGCACAGGCAGTGGATTACCTTGCAAATTGGCTATAGGTGATTTGAAAATTCCCCCAGTAGGAGAGGCAGCCGTCAGTCCTGGGAGGGCAGCGACCGTTGCTGCAGGAAATGTCCACACAGCCAGCCCCTGCTGACTTGCCACTTGACCTGCAATACTGATGGGGATAAGAAGAGGTTGAGTAACTGCCCCTGCTGGAACCATTACGCCTGTCACAACTGTTGCTAAGTTTTCCTGAGTCAAGACCTGCAAAAGTAAACAAGATTTAAAAAAGAAAAGGGAAAAAAGAAATCAACGCCACTGCAGACAGCATCAGTGCAGCAGTCACGTTAGCGAGCCCACGGGAGGCCCAGCCCAGCCAGGAGGCGCCTGTCTGAGTTGTGCCGTGTGTGGCTTTGCGCCCCATGCCAGCAGCTGAGTGGATCCAGCTCTGTGGCACCCAAGTGGGGGCTGCTTGCAAAGTCGACAGCAAAGTGAGACTGGGACGTTCTTTCTTACAGCCATGACAAATCGTTGTAGGCTGCCTCTCCCACCCCAAAGCACCATGTCTTATAGCAAACCACAGTGAACCCTAATTGCCAAGGGTGTGCTTCCCCCAGCTGGTCAACTCACTGATCACTCCTGCACTTTTAGGTATAAATGAGAAGGGAAGAAGTTCTCCCTTAAAGAGGCACTGATTTCCCTGCGATATTCCGCAAGGGGTCTGAAATATCCTTGGCAAGCAATATTAGATTTGCTTTTTTTGAAAGTCTGTACCAGCTCTGGCCACTGGGAAGAGCTTCATTTGCAGGTTGGAGACCTCCAGCAAATCTATTCACTGAGAAGCTTACTTGACAAGTAAAAAGAAAAAGGAAGAAAAAGGATTGGCTTCGCCTGCTTGGAGAAGCATGTTATTCCGGTGCCTCTGCCTCAATTCTTAGCCCCTCTGCTGACATCCACAAAATGTGCTAGAGCTGGGAACACAACTCTCTAGGCAGTGTAAGTGCCCAGAGCAGCAAAGAGGATGGCCTAGCATTGCGTTGGCTCAACATGCTGACATAACAGCACAAAAGGCCTTTCTGCACAATCACGTTAAGCATGACCCAGTTGCATTTTATCCTGACTGCGATATTTCTACAAGTCCCAGCAGTGGAGTATCTCATCCCGATATAATAGATGGAGCGGGAGGATTGCCTTGCTTTGTGTGGGAGCAGGAGGACAAAGCCTCAGAATAAGATGAAAAGATGCTATAGAAAGCCAGTTTTATTCTTAAATAAAATCAAGCTTTTCAACTCTTTTTGAAATATATTTTCTTTGTCCAAAAGGCACTGTTGGGAGTAGTTTGCATAGAACAGCAGTTAATTAACCCACAATTTGCTGCAGTGTATGCTAGCTGCATTCTGGGATTGTTATTGATGTCCAAACATGGACACAATGGCTTGACTGTGGATTAAATAACACACAGATGAGCTAACTGCTAATTGTAGGTTACCTGAAGGTTGCTTAACTCACATTCTGCCACGATTACTCATGGACTAGATCAGAGTAAATGAAGAAATTCCATTTTCCTTTGTAAGGTTTTCTTAAACCTTGAGATGCTGAAAACCCTTTTTTTTTTTTTTTTTTTGAGAATCAGTCTAGTGGTCTGTAGCACCTTTGGATATTTTCCCCTTGTGTTTTTATTACTGTAGACTGGTACAGCCCTCTTCTTTCTCAGTGGTGAGGAGCACAATTATTATAGTTTATATATTTATATCCTGCCTTTTTTCCTTCCAAGGAACACAAAGCAGCTTACACAACTCTCTCAACCTTATCCTCACAACCACCACCTGTGAGGTAGGTTGGGCTGAGAGTTTGTGACTGGCCTGAAGTCACCCAGTTGGCTCCATGGCTGAGTGGAGACTAGAACCCAGACCTCTTGAATCCCATACAAGCACTCTTAGCCACTACGCCACATTGGCTCTCTAGAACAAGGAGCCATGCTGCTCTCCCAACTCCTCCTAAAGATGTGTAGTCCAGCACATGAGCGAGGACTTCCCCACCGATCCAAATCACCAAAGAATCAATCAATAATCATAATAAACTAAATAATGTAAAAATCAATGAAGTTCACAAAATCTCATAGGGACTTAACCTTATCTGCCTTTGCATATTTTGTACAGCAAGGGTGTACAACTCAACACCAGAAATTACTTTCCCCACCTTATTTCCTTAGGTACAAAATCTTGCAGGCCATATGCTAAAAAAAAGTGACCCAACACAAGTGCAACCTTGATGAAGAATTGTGTATAACAAAATTAGTAACAACTATCTATTCATCTGAAAAGACATGATTGTGCAGAAAGGCCATGAGCTCTGACTCCCTTTTCCAAGTTTAGAGACAGACAGCACTTTGCTTACTATGTAAGTGTGGAGAGTACATGTTCTTAGAACAGTTTATGTATTCCTGCTGCTTCTGTGACATCAAACAGGTTTGTAGGCTTCAGAACCCAGGTTTTACAGCTCATGGAGAAGATTCTCTTTACCAACTATTTAGCCTAGTTTGTACATAATGGGAAGGCAGAGGAACCTTGGCTTATTCTTCACAGGCAGTGCACTCAAACACACTGCTTGGCTGCTTCCAGTGCAAGTGGGAAAGGCTAAACAAGGCACAGAGCTTCTGGTCACACGCAGTCGTTTTAGCACTGTGTGTAAAGTAGGAACTCTGACTTTTCTCTCTTCCAACAAACCAGAGCCATAAGCCAACAACAAACCAGAACCCCGTCTTATCAGTGTGTACAAACTGGAGGGTGAGTGTTTTGCTGGGCAGTATAGGACTCATTATATTTATTATATGCTACCAAGGGATGGCACGGCTTTGCATCTACCCAGAAATTACTCCATGCACACTAAAAAAGCAGGCACTTGCCAAGAAACTCGGGAAGAGTGCATTTGATTTCCACAAGATATTGTCAGATGAATACTTAAAACAGGGAACACATTCCAAAGCTCCATAAAGCACAATGAGGTTTCCTTGTTTCCAGAACACTTGAGTTCCACAGTACTCTATGCAGCTCATAAATCATCATTTCAGACAATTGGGGGAATTTTGCTCTGGAACCCAAAGAATCCCACAAGAAAGGGATGAAACCCTCTGCTTATGTGTAATTATGGTGTCCCATTTGGCTGCTTCAGGGCATTGCTAGAAACTCCCACCACACTGCAGAAACTGAATGCACTATTTCCTCAGTTTAGTGGCTTAGAACTGCTTCCCACATGTCCCACACAGAACTGTAGGGTAGTTACCTGTGGCGCTGCTTGCACTGTGACAGGTGTTAGAGTCTGTGTTTGCTGGCTTGTTACTTGGCTGAAAGGGACAACTCCAGGGATAGGTGCCGAAGGAATTTCAGGCAATGTCTTTACCTCACCTTGAGGAGGAGGAAAGAAATTACTTTGTTTACCCATTCACATTTTATCCAGAAAATGTCAAAACAACTTACAACCATTGGATAAAGGAGGATGCACAACTGGTGGGTGGGGGCTTGAAAGTTTCCTCCATGAAAGGAAAAGCCACTGGGGGAGTTGATAACAGGGTTTCCTTGCCAAGCACCCCGACCAAGTAGGACATCAGTCTTGTTTTCATGCGCTCTGTACTCTCTCACCAGCTAAAGAAATATTGTTTTCTCATACCTTTTATCCCTAGGGAGAAGAACCTTCACAGGAAAGTAGTTGGGGGTCTGTATGCCAGCAGGGGGTGGACTCAATTTCTAAGTGGCAATGCATACATACACACATACTCTGTTGACATGCATGCAAGTACTGCTCTGTTTCTGCACCTTCTTTTCAGTATGCAGAAAGTCCATGGAAGAAGACTTTTTTTTTTCCTTCGTGAGCAACCCATTTATTTATTTATGTAGAAAATTTCTATGCCGCCCCATTCGCTGAAGCCTCGGGACGGCTCACAAAACATTAAATATAATATAATTATATTTAATATAATTATATTTTTATATTATATAAAATATAATACATTAAAAAAATAAAACGAATTAACAATATAAAATAAGTCTCCCTGGCCAAAGAATAAGCAAATAATATTAGCAATTAAAATGACGTTTGAATAAAAAGGTCTTCGCCTGGCGCCGAAAAACAAATAACAACGGCGCCAGGAGGACCTCTCTGGGGAGCGCATTCCATAGATTGGGCGCCACCGCAGAGAAAGCCCTCCTCTGAGTACCTACCCTCCTAATTTCCTTCACGGAGGGTTCCCAGAGAAGGGCCTCTCTCGCAGATCTCAGGGGGCGGGCAGGCATATATGGATGTAAGCGCTCCTTCAGGTAGCCAGGACCCAAGCCGTTT